TGTCTTGGTTTCCGGAGCCTTTATCATCTTGATCTCTGGATATGTCCCAGGTTGTCAGTATCCTTCTTAAACTGTGATTTACAGAATTGGGCATGGTATTCCAGGTAACTGAAATTTGACTGAAACAAAATCAGCATTTAATATTATTTCCCCTAATCTGGACATTCTACTTCTGTTGATACAAGTTAGAATTGCATCAGCTTTATTTTGCCATTGCGTCACAGTACTGACTCATGCTTAGTTTATGGTCTACTGAGACTCCTAGATCCTTTTCACATGTACTACCGTGAAGCTAGGTATCATCTATCCAACTTTTGTGACTTTTCTGGCCTCACTATAGAACTTTACATTCCCCCCCCCCTGTTGAAACAAATTTGGTATGTTTTGGCCCAGTTCTTAGCCTGTTAAGGTCATTTTGAATTCTGTCTTCTGAAGTGTTATCTATATACCCCAGTTTGGTGTCATCTAAAAATTTGATGACCATCCTTTGTACTGCTTCATCCTAGTCATTATTAAGATGTTCAAAACCACATACTTACCACTTTTTTATTACAGGAATTGTGATTGTGGCTTCTTGTGTGTGTGTGTGTGTGTTTTTACAGGTTTTCCACCTGTAAGAAATACTCCACTTGCCACTGGTCCCTAGGATTATGAGGAACAATTACTGAGTGTTCTTTAGTTAACACCATCTTGCTCATCATTTTACTAGCTTGGGTACAAAAATATATTGGGAGAGCATATTAAAAGCTTTGCTGAATTCAAAGTACACTACATCTGTGCCCTTCCTCAGAACTACCAAGCTCTGTTTAAAAAGACAATTTTTGTTGTTGTTTAGTCATTTAATCGTGTCCGACTCTTCGTGACCCCATGGACCAGAGCACGCCAGGCCCGCCTGTCTTCCACTGCCTCCCAGAGTTCTGTCAATTTCATGTTGATCGCTTCGATGACACTGTCCAACCATCTCATCCTCTGTTGTCCCCTTCTCCTCCTGCCTTCACACTTTCCCAACATCAGTGTCTTTTCCAAGGTGTCTTCTCTTCTTACAAGATGGCCAAAGTGTTGTAGTCTCAGCTTCAGGATCTGTCCTTCCAGTGAGCACTCAGGGTTGATTTCCTTTAGAATGGATAGGTTTGTTCTCCTTGCAGTCCAGGGGACTCTCAAGAGCTTCCTCCAACACCACAATTCAAAAGCATCAATTCTTCGGAGGTCAGCTTTCTTTATGGTCCAGCTCTCACTACCATACATCACGACAGGAAAAACCATAGCTTTGACTATTCGGACTTTTGTTGGCAAGGTGATGTCTCTGCTTTTTAAGATGCTATCGAGGTTTGTCATCGCTTATATATATAATATATATTAATAATCTTCTTCTTAGAACTACAGACCTGGAAGGGACGTTATGGATCTTTGAGTCCAGTCCTTGTCAAGGAGGCAAAGAGGGGAATTGAACTCCCAACATCTGGCTCCACAGCTCAGATGTCTATACCAGTGAGCTATCTGGCAGTTATATAAAACTTGCACATGGAAACTATAGCATATTAGCTGCCTGCATCATTAGACATGCTAAATAACATAAGGGATTATCCCATATATTCTTTCCCAATATTTATATATCCAGATATAGATGCAATTGTTCACTACTCATCTAATTATTCTCAGATTACTTTACAGATTTCTTTATAATTCCACTCTCTTCTACACCATGAAACTACAAAGCTTCCCACATTGCAAAGAAAGAATTGATTTATTCCATTTCAAAGACAGAACAGAGTTACTCCTAAACTGTTTGTTTTCAGAAAGTTTTCTTTTTCATTTCTTTTAAAAGCTGAAACAGAACTGAACAAAAGAATACTTGTCAAAATTAATATTAATGTTAGGAAACTAACAATGAAAAGATGTGGGTGGCTAATGTTGGTGATGAACTATTGCTTTGAAGGGAAGTCATGCTTTTTTTGAAGTTTTGAGTAGAAGCACAGCAGGTTTTGCTGTCCTAGGGAGGCAGATGGGTGTGTCACATGTTGAGACAAACAACACATTATTTTAAGCTGAAAGAAATAGAACATTCTCATAACCTTTTTCCTGATTTTGTTACAGTTTTATGGGATGGTCATCCTTTAAACAAACATTTTGCATATGTGTAGGTGGGTTTTATTTATATTTGCTGTACTGTAGAAATAAATGACAAATTCCCACTGATTTTAGCTTAGCATGATTGCAGCTTTAATGTACATTTCTCCTCTGAAGTAGCTCATAGAAACCAAGGACGTTCAGAGCTAGTTATAGTATAAATATTTTTATATAAAAGCAAAGAAGACGAAAGAAGTGCATCAAGCTTAGATGCTCTTTTGCATCTTTATTGATGGAACTTTAAAATTAAATAAGCAATGTTTTAAATCTGGCTCTTTGAATCTACTGTTTTGCCTTTATACCACATGTTTCTGTATCAAGTGCCTTAATAAGGGAGATATAAAGCCTTTAGGTTCTTTCCCAGTACTGTAAGCTGAGCTATGGAATCAGTGGAACTGCTGGATAGCTCAGTGGTTTAGGCATCTGACTCCCAGAGATTGGGAGTTTGATTCCTCACCGTGCCTCCTTGACAAGGGGATGGACCTGATGCTCCACAGGGTCTCTTCCAGCTCTGCAGATCTAGCATGATGATGATGATGATAAAGTTACTGATTTCAGTTACCACATCCATATAAATGTATATTGTCAGATTAGTATTGGCTTTTTTTTACTTCTTGCCATTTCATATCACAATCTCCAATCATAATTTTTACACATGTATATCCCAAAGGACTCTTTATTTATTTGCTGCATGTACGTAGAATATAAGTATGTTTGGGTTTGCTCCTGTAAGCAGTCATATATTTTGTGCATTATGCTGCTTTTGATCTGTTCAGCTGTCAGTAAATGAAGCCTTTTTATTCTTTCTCTTACCAATGTCTCAGAGTGAGTTATTGAGACAGTAAGTGCCAGTTGATCAGAAACAAAAAGGGTGGTCAACTTTGGAGAGACTTGAAGCTGAGTAAGTCCCTGCACTTCTGCTGCACAGCTCTAAGCTTTTTAATCAAAAGTCAAAAGTCTATAACAATATTTCCATCTGGAAATGCTGGCCTGCATTATCAGGAATTTCCTGGTATGGCCCACAACAGGAATGAGAGTAAAAATAAGAGAGCCTTGAGAAAAGAATACTGAGAGGTGATATGATAGCACTTTTCAAATATTTGAAAGGCTTTCATACAGAGGAGAGGCAAGATCTATTTTTGATCATCCCAGACTGCAGGACACACAACAATGGGCTCAAGTTACAGGAAGCCAGATTTCAGTTGAATATCAGAAAAAACGTCTTAACTGTTAGAGCAGTACAGCAGTGGAACCAGTTACCTTTGGAGTTGGTGAGTGCTCCAACACTGGAGGCATTCAAGAAAAACTTAGACAATCTCCTGGCAGATATGCTTTCAAGCAAGGGGTTGGGCTTGATGGCCTTGTAGGCCCCTTCTAACTTCATTTTCTGTGATTCTAATATTCTATGAGTAAGCATGCAAGAGAGTAGTAAAGTGGAAAAATGAGAAGCAAACTGAAGCCACTGGATGAGAGCTTATTGTCTGGTGCATAGGTTTCCACTCACAGAACAGAATTTTGTCATCTGTGTTTCCTGTATGGACATGTAGATCTTGGAAATTCAGCATTTTGAGCAGAAGTTGTAATACTGCTTTTGCATTTCTTCTTTAACTTTTGCTACTAATATGTTATTTTCATATCTTAAAATTAATAATGTTTGTTCTGTTGATTTTCATTCTTTTTTCTTTTGAACCTAATTCACCTTTCAGTATGATTCGCTTTGCTTATGATTTAAATAAAAGGGGAGACAAAATGCATCCTTTTCTGATACCTTTGCCAACTGGGAAGCATTCTTTTCCTCCATATTCTCTCCTCACAGTAGTTTCAAATGTTATTTTTTGTCCATTTCTTTTAGAACAATTTATAATTTCTCATGTTCTGTGCAGTTTAGTGCTTTGCTGTACTTTATTAAAGATTTCTTCTGAAATTCTTTGATACTTTCCAGTAGCTATATATTTGCAATAGGATCTGCAATGCCTCATCCTTTTCTGAACTGAGCATTTTTACTGCATATATAGTGATGGTTTTTGTTAGAAAATATTTTATCTCTCTTTACATGTAAAATTAGTCTAGTGGTCCTATAGTTACTGCAGTCTTTGATGCCTCTTTTCTTGCCAATTTGAATGTATGTTGAATGTTTCCAGTTTATGGGCCATTGTTTTGTTTTCTATATTTGCAGATTTATTCTTATTAGAATTTGGAAAGATTCAATTCTCTGTAGTTTGAAATAGCTCTCTTGGTATTCTGTCTTCTCTTGATTATTTATTTCTTCCAAATGTTTTGAGAACAGCTTTCACCTCTTTCTAAAAATGCACATTCTTCATTTTGAAAACTTTTCTTAATGGGTCTGTCATTCTTGAATTTATTTTGCCTAGTTATTCAGTATTTTGGCTTTATTTGAACCTGTTCAGATAAAATATTTCCCCTTTGATTCTTCAGCATTTCTAATTTTGGTTTAATGTTTGCTTTGATTTCTTGGCACCTATGGAAGAAATCTCTTTTCTTTTTAGTTGTTATCTACTGTTTCTTTGCAATGATTATTACAATAGTTATCTTTGTGCTTTTGTAGAAGTCACTGAAAAGTTGCTTTTAGGATTTGACCTAATTTCTGTTAACTTCTATTTTTCCTTTTGTTGTTAAATTTTTTTAACAGTATTAGCAGTCATCTATTGAGGCTTTTCTTTAATTCTTTAACAACTTTAGAGGTATTTCTCTCAGCTTCCCTGGCACAATTAAACTGCCTCCCCCTGTTAAAGTTGCTTTCAAGAGGGGAATTAATGTGTGTACTGTTAATATTTTCACCACTGCTTGACATGCTTCAGATGCTGTCAAGATGAAACAGAAATAAAGGAATATGTCTTCTATTATATTAACAGGTTGAACCTCTGATACAGAAGGGCCATGAGAACATAGTACATCACATTCTACTTTATCAGTGTAGCAGCAGTCTGAATGATAGTGTGCTGGATTATGGTCATGAGTGCTATCATCCAAACATGCCGGATTCATTCCTCACCTGCGAAACAGTCATTTTTGCTTGGGCCATTGGAGGAGAGGTAAAGAGTTATTTTAATTTGTTTCTCATATAGACATAGTGGGGTGGATTAAAGGTATTTGTTCTTTTACTATTGAGGAAACAAACTTAAGAAAGGAGCGTCTTTGCACATTTAAAACTAGTGTGCCAGATGTGCCCATTTCTTGAGAGGTCTGATTTGGCCATGGTGACCCATGACCTAGTTACATCTCAGCTGGATTACTGTAATGCTCTACTTTGGGCTGCCTTTGGAAAATGTTCAAAAACTCCAGAAGGTCCAATCTGCTACAGCCAGATTGCTAACTGGGGCTGGTTACAGGGAACATATAACTCCCCTGTTACAGCAGCTCCACTGGCTGCCTGTCTGTTTCTGGGTACAATTCAAAGTGCTGGTTTTAAAAGCCCTAAACAGCTTGGGACCAAGCTATCTAAAAGACTGCAGCTCCCTTTATGAGCCTGCCCAGGCATTAAGATCACCAGGAGAGGTCTTTCTTTCAGTCCCACCACCCTCACAGGTGTGCTTGGTGGGGGACACAGGAAAGGGCCTTCTCTGTTGCTACTCCCAGACTCTGGAACTCCCTGCCCTGGGAATCTAGGTGTGGCGTCCACCCTAAGTTATGCATTATTCATAAGTTGTATGTTAATGTGGTTGTGAGACAGGGCCAAAGGGGGTTGCTGAAGAAGTGGAGTCAGAGACAGAGAGGGGAGAAGGAGTTGGGTGGTTTGAGGCAGTGAATGTTTAAGGAGTGGTTAGTCAGAGTGTGATCTGTATTCAGTAAGACATAAGAGATCAAATTAAAATACTGAAGCTTTGTGTAACTTTAAGAATGTGCTTAAGAATTATTCCTTAAATCACATGTAATCAACACACCTATTTCTTTTAAAAAGTCAATACTGGATGGACCTTAGTCTTTCATAAGAAATATAAGTTGATAAAGAGATCAACTGGTGGCAGCATGTCAAGAAGCGTGTTAGGATACCTTTGTGAGCTCTGAGTTTGGTGAAACAAGCCGGGGCCACGGAGTAAACGCCACACTAGACTGGCCCCATCTTTATTGTCCTTCCACAAGCAGGCAAAGAGTTTTCTCTTCAGGCAGGCTTTTCCTTATTGACTGGTGGTCTGAGATACATTTTTTAATGGACTGTTGTTCTGTGTTGTTTTAATATGTTTTAATATTGATCTTACTTACCCTTTTTAATATAATACTTGTTTAATTATTTCTTAAACCTTTAAATATTTGTATACTTGCAGTTTTAGCTTTTAAATATTGTCTTTTTAATTGCATAAGCTGCCTTAGGTTCTTTTTAAGGAGAAAGGTGGGAGATAAACAAACAAACAAATAAATGCAGCATTATGAAATGTTGTTATTAAAAAATGTACCCAGACCAGTGAATTAAATCATATCAAAGGCTCAATTGAAATTTTACACCAGAATATAAGTAGCCGAAGCGTAGGGCTGAGGAATCACTTGTGGAGGCTACTCTTAACTAGATCGACAACACTGTTCATAGTTTGTCACTGTTGTTGGTTTGGAAGTACCCACAATGAAGATTTCACTAATTCATTCTCTTGGAAACAGTATACTTCAGTATCCAGCACAATTAGAATTGAGATTTTCTTCCACTCCTATTTCTCAAAAAAAGAAAGAAAAAACACCAACCAACCAACCAAAAAAAAAAAAAAAGGAAACAGTGAGTGCAGGATAAGTAGCTTAAAGGAATTTTTGAGGAAAAGTGATAATTAGTATTTTCCCAAAATAATGTACTTCAGCCAAGAAGCAGCAGTATACTTCAGTATCCAGCACAATTAGAATTGAGATTTTCTTCCACTCCTATTTCTCAAAAAAAGAAAGAAAAAACACCAACCAACCAACCAAAAAAAAAAAAAAAAAACGAGTGCAGGATAAGTAGCTTAAAGGAATTTTTGAGGAAAAGTGATAATTAGTATTTTCCCAAAATAATGTACTTCAGCCAAGAAGCAGCAGTATACTTCAGTATCCAGCACAATTAGAATTGAGATTTTCTTCCACTCCTATTTCTCAAAAAAAGAAAGAAAAAACACCAACCAACCAACCAAAAAAAAAAAAAAAAAACATGTTCCAGAGGTTTTCTTTGTCCTCCACATCATGATTTTAGGAGGCATAGCAATTGCAAACTGAAAAAGGAATGGAGGACCAGTTTTTGCAGAAATGGTGGGATCCAGCAGAATCCATTAGATTCTGGCCTATATGTTTATTAAAAATATTAATGTATGTTTGCAAATTTGAAATTATAGGGCTTTACATACCCTCCTCGTGTTGGTTTATCCATTGGGACAGCACTAGACCCTCAGTATGTACTTATGGAAGTCCATTATGACAATCCATCATATGTGGAAGGTATGTTTCTTCACTCCATTTCAACTTCTGACAGAATAAAATTAATAAAATGTTCTAAACCTTGTTTTTCTTCCACAGTAAGTTGTTTTTCATCTACAGTAAGTTGTTCATTCAGAGTAAGTGAAATTAGGTACCTGGATATGAAGTGCTATAGTATTTCCTTAGAGTGACAATGCTGACAAAAATCTTTTATGTGAACATCTGAAGAGTTACATTTACTGTACATATGCCCTTGCATATGGAAAAAAAACTGACTGAAATCCTGTTGCACCAAACTGCTGTAAATTAAGAAATCTCTGTAGACATTATTTGTTGAATACTGAGCTGTTATGACTCAGTGTGACAAATAATGCCTGTAGAGATTTCTTAGCTCATGGCAATTTGCCTCTGAAAGCTACATTGTGTGCGTAACTATGCAACAAGATTTCAGTGCCTATCTGATATGAACTGGAAGTGCCTGTCCACCTGTAGTACTTGTGTGCAGTTATGGTGCTTCTTCTTGACTCAGCAACCACTGTATTTGAAATTATTATGCTCAAGGGGATTTCTACAATAATCAGAGATTGGGAGAGTTGGAGGATGTAAGTATGAAAGATGATAATCTGTATCACCACGGTGCTTTAAATGTAGCTTTTATTATTTGCAGACCAAAATCTGAGGTTGCGTACAGATTTTTATAAAACAGGTTTTTTTTTGTGCTATGTCTGTATTTTGTAGGCGTGAGTATATTATGAAAAAAAGAGGACAGTCTTGTGCCTTAAGTTCACAAAGGTTACTTCTCAGTATGTACTAGTGATGTGCTAATACCATCTGCTCTGATTCAGTCTTAATTATTTGTCTTACAAATCACAACCACTTTGGTTCAAGCTGGTTTGAAGCCCATCCGATTGAACTTGAATCCAAATATTTTAAAGTATTTTTACATATTTCTATTGTTGTGAAAAAATGTTTTAAAATATATAGTGAAAACAATATAAAATTGAGGGAAATTAAGAGCTCAGTGCTATCATCTACTGCTGAACCTCCAGTGTGCACGGAAAGCTTCCACCATTGCCCTCCCTCTCTTCCTCCCTGCCACCAGGAGCTATGCCATTTAGTCAGATTTATTCTATAGGTGCTAGGAAGACGATGGTGGTGGCGAAGGAAAAGGAGGAGGCGGCAGGACCAGGTGGGGAGGTGAGAGGGGCATTACGTTCCCCTCCCCACAGGCATGAACTGGAAAAACTAGTTTGTTTTTCTGGGGTATGGGAGTGGTTCCAGTTCATTCCCAGTTGTTGGTTCATTGGGATTTACATTTAACTATGCACTTTATGTTCAAGTACAGTGGGGTCTTGACTTAAGAACGGCCCGAGTTAAGAACATTTTGACTTACAAACCGCTCTCATAGGAAAATATTGACTTGACTTACATACTTAGATTTGAGTTAAGAACTGAAAAAAACCCACGTGGGAGGCAGGGCAAGTGCAAAATTTGAACTTTCAGTTACCTGTTGGCCAGTGAAAAGGGTGCCTGTCTGCTTCCTCACTCCTCCCAGCGTTTAGAGAGTGGATTGGGAGACAGTCTTCAGCCTGCCTGGTACTGTCCTGCCTGGACTGTATTTTCCCTGCCTTCCCTGAACCTTTCTTGACCTAAGAAAAAAAGAAACAAAATGTCCCCCTCTAGTGGTCGAAGGCGGAATAGCAGCTTCCCATTAGTTTCTATGGACGGAAAAGAGCAGATACGGATCAAATGGTTCTCAATGCATTCCTATGGGAAATGCAGATTTGACCTGAGAACATTTTGACTTGAGAACCGCCTTCCAATACGGATTAAGTTCTCAAGTCAAGACCCCACTTGTAGGCAAAACACTTTGCTGTAAAAGTTTGAGGAGAAGCACCACCTTGTTCAGACCCACAAGCTGCTCTTGTTTAAAGGTCTATGCTTCCTTACTTAAGTGGGAGTTAGCCCCATTATATAGCATGAAATTTATTTCTGAGTAAATATGGACTGTTAGTTCTATTGCTTTTAATTACTCTTTAATCCTGCTTTTTTACATTCTTCTTGTGCCATATGAAGAAACTGCAACATCATTTGTTCTACGCTATGAAGATCAATGACTCTGGGCCATGTGGTTCTACATTGAAATTTCTGCTAATGCTAACTTGTTTGTTCTGGATATTTGGGCAATGCTGGCACAGCTATAGAATAGTGTATACTTTGCTTACATAGCCATGGTCTGATTTCCTTGCTCATGTACAATGTGACTGAGAAACTTTCTAGCCACTGAAAATATTTCAGCATTTCTTTAATAGTGGCCCTGATCCTATGCCAACTGTACAACATTTTATCTACACAAAATTGATGTGTAGAGTGGAAGTCTTCCTACAGAGTGATAAGTTTGTTCACTGCTTTTTTAAATGAATGCAGTCTTAGGGAATGAATGTTTAGCCTTCAAAGAATGATGCTGAAATTATTATATTATGTAATGTCAGATTAAAAGAAGAAGAAAAAGATTAGGACAGAGCACCAGAGCACAGGTTGCTGTCCTCTGAAGATGCCAGCCACAGAGACTGGCGAAACGTAAGGAAGAACAACCTTCAGAACACAGCCAAAGAGCCCGAAAAACCCACAACAACCATTAGATCCCAGCTCTGAAAGCCTTTGCCAATATATTAGGACAAAATGTTGGCATTGCTATTGGAGAAAAGAGTCATTTTGCTGGTGCTCATAACTCCTTCCCCTCTTTAAGATAATCTTTTTCTACTCAACTAGAGTGACACAAGAACATTCTTGATTGAGCAGTGTAATACGAAACACCTCCAAACAAAGAAGGAAGGAATAAAACCTCCATGGAAAGGAGCTGACATGGAACAGAAATGGGTTCATTATAACCAATGTTGTAAAGAAATGCACACCATAATTATGATATGAGATCAGCTTCCTTGCTAAAAAGAAAACCAACAACAAACCCTGCACAGTACCCCACAACAATTGTTTGACAACTACTGTTGGATTATGTTGTTAAAATGCTATCTAGAAATCCCTTAACAAGGGCAATATAAATAATAAGTGTATATCTTTTGCACAGAACAGAGTAATACGACTGCCAGCCTGCTGTAGGCAGACACCCTCTTGTGACTAAGTTTTATTTAAAGCTTTCTTGATTTCTGTGTCCTGTTTGTCCTGCTTTAAGTACAATGTCTCCCTTCTCTTATTTTCTTGAATAAATGTAGCATTTTGGTCCCATTGCAGCTTGAAAAGTGATAGGATATTTATACTGATTTGTAGCAGCTGTTGACAACGGGTCTTTTGTTTTCAGGAATGATTGATAACTCTGGACTGAGGCTATTTTATACTCCAGATTTAAGGAGATACGATGCGGGAGTTATTGAAGCAGGTCTCTGGGTTAGCCTTTTTCACAACATCCCGCCAGGCATGCCTGAATTCATGTCAGAGGGTCACTGCACTCTGGAATGCCTTGAAGAAGTATGTATCCTGTCTTGTGCCTTTTTTCCCCCTGAGATGTTCTCCCTTAACCGAGAACAATACATTTCACTTGCTTCCTTCTCAAGGAAGTAATGAACATTTGTAGCACAGTAGGCCCTGCCACAGTAGGGACGTGGTGGCACTGCGGGCTAAACCGCAGAAGCCTGCACTGCAGGGTCAGAAGACCAAGTAGTCGTAAGATCGAATCCACGCGATGGAGTGAGCGCCCATCGCTTGTCCCAGCTTCCGCCAACCTATGCGGTTCGAAAGCATGCAAATGTGAGTAGATCAATAGGGACCACCTCGGTGGGAAGGTAACAGCATTCCGTGTCTAAGTCGTACTGGCCACGTGACCATGGAAGATTGTCTTCCGACAAAAACGCTGGCTCTATGGCTTGGAAACAGGGATGAGCACCGCCCGCTAGAGTCGAACACGACTGGACAAAAATTGTCAAGGGGAACCTTTACCTTTACCTTTTACCTAGGCCCTGCATCAGATTATGTGTGTACATGGCAAAGCAGCACATATAGGTAGGTGTTCCTTCAATTCCACTATCCTCTGTAAGTATTAGAAGGCTTATTTCTTCAGCCTTGGAACTGATCAAATAAATAGTCAGACTCTTAAGACTCCATGAAGTCACAGGCATCTATCTCATTTCTTTGGATCCTATCCAGCAACATGTAAGTTCTTAGTGCCATGAAATCTGAATCTTCTGGCCTTCAGTTTCAAAATAGTGAATAGAAAAATAGGAAGGGGGAAGGGTGAGGATCCTGCCTGGTTTCTGTGGGCTGAAATTGTGCAGGAAGATGGTGATAAGGATGTACATGGCTGCTGGTGAATGCAACTAAATTATTGGTCAGCCCATACTAAAAATGTTCAAACATTTCTTCGTTAGGTTTATTGTAAACTGAGATTAATGTTTGAATATTGTGCATTTCACGGAATTTCAGTCATGTACATCAAAGCATAATAATGTGTATTTGCCATTCCATTGCTTCTATGGGGATCTTTCACTTAGAAAAGAAAGAGATTTTGTACCAGCTGTCTTCCAGATGTGGTTAGTTCAGGCAATTACTATACAGAAGAACAAAAAATGTTTTAATATATAATTAACCTTAATTTCCTATCCTTTATTACTAGCTCTAAGTCTACAAATCTAGATTAATGATCTGGGCTCAAAGAAACAGAAGAAATGTTGAAAAGTGTCAAGATTAAAATGATATGCTTTCCTGGATGAGAATTCCATGTGAAACAAATAGCTGATCTGGAACTCCAAGATAGAAGATTTAGAGCTAAAGAACTGAATACTTGACATTGGGGAACAGGAAAATAGTAAAAAATTCAGACTGTGTATTTTTGTATTCCTTCTCTGATAACATCTGCAGTGATGCTAGTCACTGTGGAATATGCTCATACTGACCTACAGCTAATAAGTATTGGCTTTAACTCTACGCCATTATTTTATCAGTTTTTCTTGCAGCTGGATTTCCAAGCTGCAGGAAGTAATTTCATCCTTTAATTGTGTATATTGTTTTCACAATGTGAAAATTTGCATGTTCATAGTAAGCCAGGGATTTATGGAAACTCTAGCTTACTGTGGGAGCATTATATCGGTCCATGTTTCCTGATAGATCCTGTTTGTGGCAGGCTAAACCATGGAAGTTTCATGGATGGTTTGTTTATTTTGATGTTTGAGCCAAGTAAAAGCAATAAGTAAACGGTACTTTTTAAAAATTACAAGTAAAATGTCCCCATCTGCCCCTAAAATCTTAGGCATGGGACTTTTCTTTCTTTTGAATTGCAACTCCCAGAATTCACCAGAAGTCCTCACAGGCAGAATTCTGAAAGCTGCACCCAAAACCAGTATTTTAAAGAGAGGCTGCACTCACTTCCATGTGCACATCATCATTATATTAACCTTTCAAGAACAAGGAAACTACTCCTGTTGATGCCTAGAAGTTCAAGGGTTTATGGTGGTCTCAAAGGACCATGAGATGGGTACTTCTTTAGGATGCCATCTGTATATGGTTTAATAGGCAGTGAGACTACTCTACCCATACTCCCTTGAGACTCCCATGAATGCTTGCAGAACTCCCAGTCACCAGTAGGAGCAGTTTTCTTTTGAAAGGCTGCCCAAAAGAAATAAAAGCCCCATTTCTGCACTGAAACATATTGGATATTATTCCCATTAGTACTAGCCAGGCCAGGATGCCCAACTGTCTATCATGACATAAACTGTAATTCAACAACAGCTGAAGTGGTTCTCCAGCCCTCTAAATTCCCTCCTCATCTTCAGATCTTTGCAAAGATCTGAGGGTCTTCTGAGAAGACACAAAGGGCTTTAAAGAGGTTGTTACTGCTGCTTCTAGACCAAATTCGGGAGGTTTCCTAGGCTATAAATTCAACCTTGTTCTGTCAGTCTGTGCACTCCTTTGTTACCTCTACTTAAGACACATGCTTTTGCCATAGGATATCTAAATTCTTCTTCGCTGTACAATTATTATGTTTCAGTATTTAATAGTCCTGCCTATGCTTGATTTTTGAATGAACTCTGTGAATAAATTATTTTAACATTTTACCTGGACATTATGTGAAAAGTGTAGATAAATTCAATTGTCTATTGATTTGCTTTCTTACACACTGTTCAGGGTAAGCTGATAAATTTCACTGATCTTTTCCAGGCCCTCAATGCTGAAAAGCCAAGTGGAATCCATGTATTTGCAGTTCTTCTCCATGCCCATCTTGCTGGTAGAGCTATACGGATGCGCCATTTCCGCAACGGTGATGAACAGCAGCTCCTGGCCTATGATGATGAGTTTGACTTCAATTTCCAGGAATTCCAGTACTTAAAAAAAGAAAGGATCATCTTGCCTGTATGACTCTCCACCCCTCTTTCATTAACTTTGTTTTATTATTTATGTAGACCAGATTTATCCTCACATGTCCCTGAAAATGTAAATGCCTATGTTTGCCACTGTAAGAACTGCATCTTGATTCAGGCAGGGAGAAAAGCCATTGAGAGAAGAGAAATGGCCAGCAGGAAAGCAGTTAAAGTATCCAGGGATAATCATGCTATGCCTACATATATTTGCATGAAATTTTAGTTTGGCTTTGAGTGTAGTGAGTCATGGCTACCCCTTTTTATTGATGGGAAAGAAATGTGCTTGATTTGTGTTTTAGTAAATATTCATCTTATTTCACACTTGTGAACCAATACAAGAACCAAAACGTAGTTCCCAAACTTGCACTTTTCACTGAGTTTGAGATGCTGCACTCCAATATAAAAAAATCTGGATGGAAATGCATTAAACTAGATACAAATGAATGTATAGACTAGAAGAACCTATACATGCAAACACATTTAGAATGTATAGATTAGAAGAATGTATACATGCACACACATTTCCATGAAAGAAGTAGAAATTTTGTACAAATATTTTTTAAGAAAGAAGTCAAAATGATGCAGAAGTGGGACAGACAAACTTAAGACTGGAAATATGAGGAACTAGCCCTATTCAGTTGGCCATTTAAATAAACACAGAGAGGATTTTTTTTCAGGATTCCCAATTTCATAGAGAGCCTCCACTCACTGTCATCTTCCACATGAGGACAACTGAGAGAACATGCAAGCAAACTCACCTTCTTGCATGTTTATCTGGATTAGATTGCAGTTGATTATGGCTTGAGTGGAACAGAAATTTGTGGGGTCTTTCATCATTCTATGCTGTTCATTCTCAGACGTTATTTGTTCTCCTTTATCTTTACTTAACTCTGAATTATAATATTTTAAGTTCACAGATTTTATTTGTATCTAATTATATTTATTGGATAAACTTCTCCTTTCAGCTATTGCTGTTTTTGTTCCTGATAAGATATTTGGGTTGCTATAGGAGTAAAATATTAGTTGCATCAACTTGAGACTGTAAGACTCCTCCTCAGATAAATCTGTCAGCATTTGTCAATTCCAGCCTGCCAGATCAACCTCAGGGTTCTCAAGATGTCTCGTCTTGACAAACTGTGTTATGTGCTTGCAAGACGGAAAATTTACTGCCTGTAGCAATATCATTAACGTGAAATAATTAAGCACTATTTTGAATATCTTTCTTCAAAGTCCTAAGTAGACTACAAAATATCAATAGTATATGATTGTTGTTTTAATTAGTGGTATATTCTATAGTGCCAATTTTAGTATTATTGGTATGTGTTGACATTATTACACCTCGTAATACTTACTCACATCACTGCTGGCTATGTAGTAACTACCCAATAATTCTCTATGAGTTATCTCCCTTCTCAGGAGTAACTTGTTTGTATGCTGCAGCTGCTACTGTAAACAGCTTTAAGTCTTCCCCCCCCCACTACTGCAAATAATTTTTTGAAAATAAAACAGTGACCAGCAGCTGCATAATGTTACATGGTGGTGACCTGTCTGTTGGCAAACATGGGTGAAACACGGGTGAAACAGCTGTCAGTCATATATCTCACAGCTCCAGTCTAAACTTTTACAGTTTGCAGAATATTAAAATGTTATTATTTTTCCTAGTTCCACTTCCAGAATCTCCCAGCCAGCATCACCAGAAACCATGCCAGCTGAAGGATGTTAACTGGAAGTTGTAATAATAATAATAAAAAAACTTTTCTGAGCTCTGCCCTTTTCCAGACATTGGTATACTTCTACAATAATACTCCCATCAAGCACAAGAGAAATAGGAATGCTGGTGAGGAGAAGACATACATTAGAGAGCATCAGTTAGCAGTTGCTTTGTCTCCTCATAAGGTGCCTTGGAGGAAGTCACTGAGACCAGCAGCTTGTATCAGAAGGAAGGCCTCCCCAGTTTAGGAGAGACAAAGAAGAAAGCTCTTCTCTGCATGTGCTACAAATGGGGGCTTAAAGAAGCAGGTGTCCTTTGGAGGATGACATCTGCAAATCTTTATAGCAGGCCTATAGTGAGAGAGGCAGTCCCTTTAAAACCCACATAATTTATGATTTTATTTTTAAAAGACTTTTATTTTGATTCATTTAAAAAAAATGCAAACAACAAAAAGAGGCATAACTTTAAAAAACCTTAATAACACAAAACCACATAAACAGTACAATAATACATAATGTGCCCTTCCAGGACCACCTGGAGATATAACCAGTGTTTTCTTCATTAAGGAGCTCCCTTTTCCTTCTAAACTGAATTGATTCTTGCAGAGGTGCACAATCCTTCCCATTTATTAGCACAAAATTGATAAATTCTCCCTAGATATCGATAAAAATATTCTTATTTACCAAGCTCTTCTTTAATTTAATATTAAACATTAACTTATCAATAACTATATTCAAAACTTTTTTTACCATTTAGAAAATCAACTTTTACTTTCCTGTTCCATGATATCATTAATCTTGCTGTTAATAAGTGTGAAATACGGTATTTTTTTTTGTCCAGCTCCATTGCTCCTTGTCAAATATTGATAAAAGAGCTATTTTAGGGCAAGCCTCTATATTTAGCTTAATTATTTCAATTGCTGCACTTATTTCCAACCACCAAAATTTCAGTATATTCTCACAACCCAAACACATGTGAAAATGAGTACTTATTTTGTCGAGCACAACTTAGAATAATTAGTATCTATATGATTTAATTTCACTGGAATTAAATACCATCTCCAAACTAAGTTGTAAAGGTTTTCCTTTATCCTTGTAGACATACATTTTAATATTTCTTTATTCCATATATTCTTCCACATCTCAGTACTTATTTCCATTCCCCAATCATGTTCCTGTAATGTTTTAAGAAAATCTTGTTGGTCCACTGCTTCTATTGTACATTCTACTTATCATCTCTTTCATTGTTTTCATCTATCTTTTCATTCTGTTATACTATTTATTCAAATCTGATAAGACCACTACTCAAGTACCAGAATTTGTAATACTGAATTTCTTTATTATTGTGTTTCAGGGAGATAATTTAGTCACTGAATGTCATTACAGTACCCTGGATCGATTACATATGACTTGGGTAAGCAACTTAACAACATGGTTTCAGATGGATTACAGTGTCCTCTAATCAATGTGTCTAGAGCAACCATTCTTTCAGTCACAAGGCCATGATAAGTCTGTTGTAGGTAACCTAGGAATTTCATAATGCTAATTTATATGTTATGTTGGAGATGCTGAGTTCTTATTCTTATCTTTCTATAACAATTCCAATGGTGCTAAAGCCACTGTGCATAAGACAGAGAAGTACGTGTGGCCCTTTTCATTGACCTCATGGGGGATAAAAGGAGTCTGACATAGGAAGGCCATAAATTACTCACCCTTGCTGTAGGAGTGGGGTTACCCTTTCCCCTTGTGCCATTTTTCATGTTTAAAACATTCCTTTCTGTCCATCACAAACCCCTGCTTACATCCCTTGGTGATTTTTAACATTTCACTCTAGTTGGTAATTCTTCCAGGATCCACACAAAGACTAAGAAATTTTCCAGAACAGGCCTAGGGATAAATGCTGAACACTGAGGTTGTTGTCCTTCTCACTGATTTCCTGTGAGAGATTGTATTTCCTGAAAAAATCAGGACAAGGCTGTATGGCCTTCAAAACAATACAAATGCAGAAATAGGTGATACCTTTATTGGACCATTAAAATGTGTTGATGTTGTTGTTGTTGTTGTTTGTAGAATTTTCTTAATGGTCCAATAATAGTATTACCTATTCCTGTATTTTTATTGAATTTCCTGTGCTGCTTGTGCCTGAATTATTATCCTCTGTAGGCTTTTTCTATCTCTTCGTTGCTCTTGTCAATTTCAGGCTGTTTTGAATGGTCAGTTTCAGATGGTGGTGTTAATCAGCTATGCATGGGATGGTACTCAGCCATTTAAAACTGACCACCAAAATAGACAAGTGCAACAAAGTGCTACAAAAAGTGTGTGGAGTATAATAGATCAAGCACAAATCAAACGTATGTTAATGCAGGAATTTGGTGCAAAGGGCAAATGCTTCTGTTTAGAACCCTAGAGGGCAGAGCAGACAGGCAACATAACCATAAATTCAAAATCCTATGTGATGTAGTATAAAAATTTAATAAGGAAACCTACAGAGAATGGCATTATGCCTGCATATTATCAAGGGACTTTAACATGCAGGACTTTGGGGGGAAGAAATTGAGGAAGTTTTGCTGGCTAGGAGATCCTGGATGTGAAAAGAAATAAGGCAGGAAATGCAATGAAAAGTTGTTTCACAGTCCTTGTCTTGAACAGAACTCCCTCTTTATCTGATTCTGTAGTCTTTGTACAACCTTGTGTAAAATACTGTACCCTGTTGCATTGGATAACTACATAGTGGAGTCAAGGGTTTTGGGATCATCAGAATATACAATCTCTTACTTCCCATAGTAAGAACAGAAGTTCATCCAGAAAAATTGAAAAGCCACTGCTTTGAAGAGTTCCACTGATTCAAATATCCTGTGACTTACTATGTTAAAGTCAGTCACAGTTAAAATAGGCCAACTTGCAACAATGGAACTTACAGAGGAGTTGACTCACCAAAACCCTGTTGATTCAGTGAGCCTGTTTATGATGCTAATCAACAAGATTTGGCACATAATGCACTTGATGATGATAAAACAACTGTTTGTGAGGTTAGATAAGCAGGTTTGGATAAAAGAGTCTGGGGAAATCTTTGCTTACTCTGATATTAGCTCCCCCAACACAATCACATCACATATATAGTGTTCATGTTTTTGTTTAATGAATAGTGTTCTTTTTCCTTAAGTGCCACATTTTTTTCCTGCTGTCATTTTAGTTTTTCTGAACGTGTCTTTCACAGTGGAAGTAACTATTGACAGTTTGTGGTCTAAGCAAGTGGGGGTGGAGAGAGCTAAAGGGGCCTGATTCCTGTCAGGTATGGGTAACCACTGTTCTGACCACAGTAAAAGGTATATACAGTATGATGGGGCAGCAGTAGGCAGGTTTGACAGCAAACTCAGAAACGTCAGTTAAAGGATCAGTTTTTTTCACTTTGTTTTGACTTACCAGAATGTCCATGCACTGCACAAGTTCAGAGAGTAGCAGAAGAAAGGTTTCTTGCCAGAAAGAAAAAATTAACTATTTTTCGTACTATTTAATCTTAAAATTAAGAGCTCAGGACCTGTTGTAAATAAGCCCCATATTTGTTGTTACTTGAGCTACAATGAAAAGAACAAACCATTTCACAATCTTCAAATACATTAATAAGGGCTTGCTCCTATGACTTGTGGATTTGATGTATTTACCTACTTGTACTTGGTACAGTATATTTGTGTATACTATTATTGATAGCATTGTAAGGAACATCTTAGATGTCACCCCAACAAAGTCCACCTGAGAAATCCTGAGGCCTACATTGTCAGTCTTATGTTAAATTTTTAGGGAGGACTTAGCACCAGAAGTGAAATGTGCCTATCGTACCTTCTGTATTACCCAAGAATAAATCTCACTCGATGTGCAAGTATTCCAGACATAATGGAACAACTTCAGTTTATTGGTGTTAAGGAAATATACAGACCAGTGAGGTAAGTAGGATGTACCATATGGTGGGAAACTGACCTTGTGTTGGCTATTGTTTCAATGACATTCTTGAAACATTGTTCATGACTACTGTTCTTGATGGTACTGGCTGATATGTGTCTTTATTTCAAAACTCTTCTATGCCACCTTTTACCAAGGCTTTTACAGTGGTTTATAAAATTAAATAAATAACAAAAACTTATTAAGACAGCAGAATTAACATCAGTCATGCTTCCCTTGGATGGGCTTATCACATTTAGGGCACTGATGCTGAGAAAGTCCTTTCCTCAGTGGAAACAAAACTCACTTCTAATGGAGATGATAGTTGGAAAAGGGGATGGCCTGCTGCCCTTTGTGTTGAGACCAGCTCCTATGTGAAGAGGCTCTCCTTCAGGCATTTATATCTTAAGCTATTTAGAGCTTTAAGACTAAGCACCACCACTTTGAAGCAGATTGTGCTTCTGGATGACATTGGAAAGGGGTTGGACCATATAGCCGTTTATTGTGGGAAAGGTGAGATATAAACAATATACATGAATTAATTTCTAGTTTAATTAGCATTGTAAATCAAACTAGAAATTAATTCCAATTAATTAATTTCCAAGTCTGTAACTATGATTCTTTGATTCTTAAATTGCATTTAAGGGATACTGATATATTCTGTAAAGACAGAACTCTTGATGCTTTCCCAGTGCAAAGTCTCTTTGTCAGTTTTCTTGTCAGGTAAGACTAGTGGAAGACAAGCAGGAGAAAGTGAGCTCCTGGATAGCAAGGAGGCTAAAAGAAGACATCTAGACCCATTCTGTTTCTGGTGACCTTAGGAACATAGCTGGAGCTGAACGTAGGGATAGGCTGAGAAAGCAGAGCTCAGAGAGTTACATTTAGGAAGAATGATTGGAACAACAAGTTAAAGCCATTCGTAACTGAGCGGTGATAGGAGAATAATCTAGAAAATAATCCCCCAATCCCCAGCCCACTCTGAACTAAACCAGAGGAAGCTCGCCTACCACTTTCTTTCCAAATAATTACTGTGCGGGAGACATAATAAAAGACTGAAAAACTGCAATATTATGATGCAGTAATGCCCAAGTCATGTTGAGTAAATTCAAGCACAAAGCCTGATTAGTATTTCTTTTTTACTTTAAAAACATCTCTAGAATTCAACTGTGTAAGTGATTCATAACATTTAGAAATTGTAAACTTGTGGATGGTTGTAATTTTGAAGTTTTATGATTGAGGACACAATGCATAGTTGGCTTCCAGAGATGATGTTGAGAATTTTTCTCCCTTGAACTTTATACTGCAAAATGATTAACACATAAGTATCATTTCTTTTTTTAGGGACAGGCAACCTATGACTATACCTGCAGTCTTGCTCTTACTATCTTTCTATAATCTCTCCTGACAGCTAGGGGGGAAAACATGTCCTGGTTTAAAGACTGCACCTTCATCTTTGGGATCTCAGAAATAAAACATGCTAACAAGCCATGGGATCTCCTGAATGTTCTTCATAATAAAAACCTGAACAAAAATGGATATTTTGCTTGAGGTTTTTGATAACTAAAAGAGAAGAAGCAAATGCTGCTTTCTGAATAAAACTGAAAACTTGATAGTCTTACTTTGGAATACCTAATTGAGAGTTCATGTTTTGCAAGTGCTTTCATTGGTGAAGTATACAGACGTCACTTGCACATGATATGCCTTATTATTAATTATCTGATGAACTTATAAAGCACTGGAAAAAATGCTCTACAGAATGGACTATAAGGCAAAACCTACAGCCATGCTTGGTTAGACAGTGTTCCGCTGCCGATGAGAACACTACAGCAAGCATGGCTGTAGGTAAAAAAATATGGACAGTAACAAGGGACGAAAGGACACCACCCTTCTGTTCTCTCATTCTTCCATGGCTTTGTGCTATGTTTGTTTCCACTGATAATGTTTGTTTCTGTGCTGTGCTTCAATTTAAATGACCTTTAAATGAAGGAGAAATAATGCGCACTAGGATCCCTACTAACATGCAGACTACCAGGTTAAGATTCCTGTCTCATGTCTTGGCCTGATTTCCTGATCACTTGGATCAATGGATGAGCCATTGAAAGTTGTTAGGATAATGGGTGCATTTTTTAAATAAAATATATTTTCCTTTGTTGAGATGCAGAAGCTTCAATAAAAATAAGAATTATCTATGTTTGCTTTTAAATGTAGGACTTGGCCATTCATTATCAAAAGTCCAAAGCAATACAAAAATCTTTCTTTCATGGATGCAATGAACAAGTTTAAATGGTCCCGAGAACAAGGTGTTTCCTACAATGACTATGTTCTTCAGTTGCCAGTGAATGTAAGATGCACCAAGACTGATAACGCAGAGTGGACGGTAAGTGTGATCCCTTTTTAAAAACAACTTCCAGTAGTATAACTACAGACGATGTGGTTTGTTTATTTTTCATTTATTAATTCATCATGTTATGAGAATTGGTAGCTCTGTAGTCAAAATACACCTTGCTGTATCAGTTAAAGGTGATATTCTTTTAAACAGCAGTTAGCATTATAGACAGAATTAATAATAATTACATGCTGTCATGCTGATCCCAACTTATGGCAGCCCTTTCCAGGGTTTCCAAGCTAATCCATTTAGTCGTTTAGTCGTGTCCGACTCTTCGTGACCCCACTGACCAGAGCACGCCAGGCCCTCCTATCTTCTACTGCCTCCCGGAGTTGTGTCAAATTCATGTTGGTTGCTTCGCAGACACTGTCCAGCCATCTCATCCTCGGTCGTCCCCTTCTCCTCTTGCCATCACACTTTCCCAACATCGGGGTCTTTCCCAGGGAGTCTTTTCTTCTCATTAGATGGCCAAAGTACTGGAGCCTCAGCTTCAGGATCTGTCCTTCCAGTGAGCCTCAGGGTTGATTTCCTTTAGAATTGATAGGTTTGTTCTCCTTGCAGTCCAGGGGACTCTCAAGAGTCTCCTCCAGCACCACAATTCAAAGGCATCAATTCTTCGGTGGTCTGCTTTCTTTATGGTCCAGCTCTCACTTCCATACATCACGACAGGAAAAACCATAGTTTTCACTATTCGGACTTTTGTTGGCAAGGTGATGTCTCTGCTTTTTAAGATGCTGTCCAGATTT